GTGATTCCGTCCCTAGACCGCTGCGTTCCCGCTTTGCAAACAGCAGTGTTTGCCCTGCCCGCTCCGTTTGGCCGCTGGGCGGGCTAGAAACGCTAATAACTGTGCGCCTAAGTGCTTTTCACACCCACATTACTGCTTTGGTTCTTGTTGCTGCTCAAAAGCGGTGCTTTTCCCTCACTTTTTTTTTTTAATAAATAAAAATTAATCGTATAAATATTCAGCTTTCATTTTAGTCGGACATGCTAGCCAGTCCCAGGTCTTTCCTTTCATCCCCTTCGTCCCTTTCCCGCTGCCAGACTTTACTTGACCTTCTGCCAATTTAAATTCCAATTAATCTTCTAGACTCCTGTTTGGGCAAGGTACTACTCGGAAACCGCAACCTGGGAAGAAAAGGAGACGGGTATTTTCGTCCTAAAGAGGTGTTTAGGACGCTGAGCGTGCCGTACGCTTTTCACGAGCCCAAAGAGATCACGAGTAATCTGTTACGTTGCTTTTACTGGCCTGGGGTAGGGGTTGGTAACACCTTTCTGGGAAGCGCTCTCTGTGTCTCTGCTTGCGTTACATCTGCCTTCGAGTTTCAGCGGAATTCTGCTGCCTGATTACTTGCTGAAAGGTAAATCACTTGCTCATGAGGCTTATCCATGGGAAAAGGCCTTAAGGGGACTTATACTACAATAACTGGGAAAATATGGCTCAAGGTAGAGCATAAAAATCCTTTAAATGTGTTAAATATTTATCAGTGTTGAAGGCAAACAGCTTTCTGTAAGCTTGTCTGATAGATAACATGGTATATTTTGCGGAGAGAAAGTACGTTGCCTTCCATTACGGCACTGAATTAAAAGTTGTGCCCATGCTCGGAAAGCGCTGCGGCTGCACTTCGAGAGCACGTTTAAGGAGTCGCAGACACAGGGAATTTGTCTGGCAGATCTGCAGAGAATGGGTGGAGAGACTTGATGCTGGCTGCTGCTTTTAGAAATTATTTTCATCCACTGGTCTCAGAAAGCCTGCTGCTTCTAGGAGGTAGATAATAGGGATATATTACCACTAACTGGTTTCTTCATGTTTTCCGTAACACTGAGGGAATTACTAACAAGATCAATCCAAAAATTATTATTGGAAATGCTCAGGAACTTACCTTCCTTAATCCCTTACACGTAAATCAAGGCAAATATGACCTATGAACTACAATAGTTATTCTGATCATTTGCAATCATTATTAATTAACTGGTATCTTATATTCCAACTTTCAGTTGATTAGAGATGGAGGATGAAATGTAAGATATTCACAAATCAGGTGGCACTGGCGTGCACCAGCTCTTCCAGGATTATGTTGAAGAGACCCAGTCTCCGATTTGAGTGCTTTCAGCTGAATTTTGCTTTTTATTCCCATTTGCTCATTTAGATTTCCATTGACCATTTTGCTCTCCTGCAGCACTGAATGTATTGGGAAAAAAAGAAGCTAAATATACCCGTTTAGATTTCTGACTCATACGTTATCTCCAGTATCTATTCCAAGCACTTCCAGATGGTTGTGCAGGTACTGCTGGTGCTATGCAAGCTACTGGCTGCAGGAATG